TTACTACCGTTACCCAGCTGCGGTCCTCCGACACCTTTTCGCGTTTAGAGGTTCCCTGCGCTCCGTTCCTGCGATTATGTTGCTCGGAGGAAGCGGATTTCTGTGCTACAGGTTTTAGTTTCGCGGCTGCTGCGGGTCAGGTCAGGTTGCACAGGACTGAATATGGCCACAGGCCAATCAAGCGTCCAGAATTCCCTCGGTGATATGCCCTCGAGTGTGCGTCCACCTCTGCGATTGATCGGTTTCTCCTTCAATCTGCAAACTGAGAGAAAGAGAGACCTTTGTTAATGAAGCGTTCCACATTAGGCAAAAACAATTTACGCACCTAACATTCTATGTCAGGGAAAAGCTACAACCATCTGGCGTCCAGTGCTTTTTTGAAGGCGTGGACACTTGACTGCATGATTAGTTCCGACGGTAGCTTATTCCTATTATCCAATGCCCTATTAATAAAGAAGTGTGCTCATAAATTCATGATTTTGAGCTCATGTCCACTCGTTCCTTGGTGATGAACCTCAGTGAACAGGAACCCCGAGTCTAAACCCAGCAAATGTTTCTTAATCCGAAATACTTCAATGAGGTCTCCGCGCAATCTCCTTTTTTCTAGTGAAAAAAGACTGAGCGCGTACAACCTCTCTTTGTGGGTTTTTCCCCGCAAACCCTCAACCATCCGTGTAGCTAGGCTCTGAACCCGCTCCAGACAGGCTGCGTCCTTTTTGTAGAAGGGTAACCAAGCCTGAACACAGTATTCTAGGTGAGGCCTTACGATGGCTTTGTAGATGGGTATGAATACGTCTGCTTTCCTACACGAAACTGCCGATCTTAGTCGAAACAGTTGTCGTGTTGCCGTGTGTGCTGCAGCCTCACATTGGGAACCCCAACTGTAATCTACAGTTACTGTGACTCCTAGATCCCTTGCACTAGTTACGGTGCCTACTTCAAACTGCCCCAGTCACCCAGATCCTTCAATGGTTCCTGGGTTCCTGAGAGCAACTGGCTCTTTGCTGCATTTAGTGGCAGATCCCATCTGTGGGATCACTGGACCACCTTCGCAATATCATCTTCCCATTGTGATCTTCCACTTGATTAAACCACTATTACGTCATCAGCAAAGATGAAGCAAGGTGAGCTGGTAATTTCTGCTAGATCGTTTATGAACAGCAGAAAAAGAAGCGAGCTTAATACCGACTCTTGTGGCACGCCACTAGTGACGTGATGGACTGGTGACATTTGCTCTCCTACCCTGACGCAAAATGTCCAATTGATCAAAAATGCTGCTATCCAATTATGTACTGCCCCTGTGATTCCGAAAAAACGTAGCTTGCGTAGAAGCAATCGATGACTTACGGAATCGAAGGCCTTACTGAAATCTAGGTAACATACCTCTACTGTTCTACCTTCGTCGACCGTCTCCGTGACTTGGTCGAGGCAACATAAGAGGTTAGTCAGGCATGACCTGTTTTTCATGAAGCCATGCTGGGACAGGCTAAGTAATGTTCAGGTCAGGTTCAGTTCAGTTCAGTTCAGTATACACAGGATGAAATGTGGCTTCCAGCCAATCGAGCGTCGAGATTGTTGTGTTGTTGGAGGTTGTTTATAGCTTCCAAAACTGCGTATTGCCGATTCCAGCGATCGACCGTTGGTGGGTCTACTTGTCTATGTCCTCGGTATACGTTCCCAGCAGGGTATTTCTAAAAATAGACAAATGAGACTCAGCGGTCTAGGCCTTGACCAAGCTGCCACAGGTTAGAATGGATGACCCTGATTCTGACCATTGACACCTGGCGGAATTGTCATAAAATGTAAAATGTAAAATGTTGGCACCCGGTAGATTCAGAGAAAATACCTAACAGAAAACACCTTTCTCTAGCATAAATTCACATGTGTAACGTCAAACATTACCGGCTAGCTTCTTACTTCTCAGTAGCCCGCTTCTGGGTAGACTGTTCTCCAACACTCATCCAATGCGGTCTTGAATGCCACTACTGTGCTGCAGCTAACCACGTGTTCTGGCAACCTATTCCACAGTGGGATCACCCTGTTGGTGAAGAATCTTGCCCGGAGTTGCAGCCTACTGTGATGACGCTGGAGTCTAGAGCTATGCCCCCTGGCGCCACTTTCCGGGATCGCAGGGAATAGTTCCTCGCTTTTGATGCGCGACAGACCGTTCATTATTTTGAACGTCAGATCTTGAATGTCAGATCAGGTCAGGTTGCACAGGACTGTATATGGCCACAGGCCAATCAAGCGTCCAGAATTTCTTCGGTGGTGTGCTCATGAGTGTGCGTTCACCTCTGCGATTGATCGGTTTCTCTTTCTATCTGCAAACCGAAACAAAGAGAGACTTTACTACTTGCCGTATCGTCGAGAGACTTTTACTGTAAAAGCGTTCCATAATACCCAAAAACAATTTATGCACCTTGCATTCTATGTCAGGGGAAACCTCCAACCATCTGGCATCCAGAGTTCTTTTGAAGGCTTGGACGTTTGGCTGCTTAAACAGTTCAGACGTTAGCTTATTCCAGTTATCCACTACCCTATTAATAAAGAAATGTGTTCGTAGGTTCAGCCTAGATCTCTGTTATATAAGTTTGAGCTCACGACCACGTAATCATTGGTGGTGAGCCTCCTTGAACAGGGATCCCGGGTCTAAACCCAGCAAATGTTTCTTAATCCGAAATACCTCATTGAGGTTTCCTCGTAATCTCCTCTTTTCCAGTAAAAAAAGACCGAGCACACACAACATCTCTTCGTATGTTTTTCCCCGCATACCATCAACCATCGGTGTTGCTAGTTGCTGAACCTTCTCCAGACAGGCTGCGTTCTTTTGCAGAAAGCACAGAGTGAGGAAAATCTCTCTTCTCGGTCCGAGGCGTGACCACTGTTCCCCCTCCCAATTACCCCTTTGCGACCCTTTGTGAATACGTTATCTTTAGTCACTCCTGATTTGACCGTGATCACCGCGTGATCTCTCGTGTTAGTCATTGTCTATGGTTGCTTGATGTCGGATTCTCGTGTCCAGTGACCTTGTGTGTCTAATTATCGATCCCACCCGTGTCATTGTCCTATGAACTAACGTGGCCTCGGTGTGTTATTTCCCCGATTCAAAATCGCCCCAGTCCCTCGCTATATGCCCCGTCATTGGCAGTATCGCCGTATAGGCGGTGATACCGGCGAATCCCGTTCAACGGTGATCGAGATCGTGTGCGCCGGGGGGCTGCGGCTCCAATGATTGGAGCGCGTGCGACGGCGTTGTCGTGGGCGGTCGCGAGCCAAAGTCAACGCCTGCACCTGTGTGACTAACGCCATACCACAGGCAACTAGCTCGGCGTTGTCAGTGGAGTGCGACGGTGGAGGTGGTTGTGTGTAAGATTGGACCGACAGCTGATCAGCGTATACCCTGTCGGCCATCTCGGCTAGTTCCGTAAGCGTAAACCACTGGCCAAAATACTGCAATATGGAAGACAAACTATTTGGTAGAGCTTGTACCCAAGACAGGTGGAGTATCTTCTCATCGACGTTTAGACTAGCGGCCTGACCCTGCATATAACTGAGAAGTTTGGTCGGGGTGTCGAGGCCGTTGTCTCCCAGACGCAGGCCACCTGACAGTTGTTTGAGGCGGTACTCTATGAGTGTAACGACCAAAACGTGATTGTCCTGGTCCGAACGAAATAAAAAAGACCTCGTCTGTATGCGTTCAATCAAATGATCCTTCGGTCGTTCTGGATAGCGATAAACAAATCTCAGAGCAACGCGTAGCCCAAATTATCGAGAACCAAGTCGATCCAAAAATAATCTACGGTACTATTTTTGCATTAATCACAAATAAATAAGGCAGTCATACCTCTGATAGTGAGCCTAATTCACTATCCAGCCAAAATGTTACAAATATTCACAGAAAATATCTGCGATAATGAAAATAAATAAGAAAATGAGTGATTTGAACTACCTTTCAGATAATTCTGGACCGATAGGAAAATTCTGCACGCTTCAACAGATCAAGCAAAATAATCTTGAGCGTTACAGCCAAAGGGGGTTCAATATAACCGAAAGCAACGGCTAGTTCAACAACGAGCGTCCAATCGAAACCTTGGTCGCAATAA